GCCATGAAGAACAAGTAACTAGAGACATTTATAGCTAAATGGATGCATATTGAGGCCATACTCTTAAGTGAAATAAATAGGACACACATGTGTAAGTTGAATAGTTTCTATAGTGTGAGAAGCTGAAAATGTAAATAAGGATTAAAATGATTAAAATTAATAATTGATAATTTGACATATTAAAAGGTCCAAATGTGTAGGGGTGGTGGGAGGGAAAGGGGAAAGGAAAGAAGGGAAAGGAAAAATTATGAGAAAAGAAAAAAATGGAAACGAAATCTATGTAAATAGGGAAGGGCAGAGGGGGTGAAGGGCCCACAGGTAATGGGGGAAAGAATAAGAACCAAGATATATCATGTACAGGTACAAGCACCCAATAAAAAATGTAAACGTATTGTATACCTAAAATGTACAAATTAAAGAATTTTTTTAAAAAAGAGCATGTCTTTTCTTTCATGGGCCCCTTGGGGCTTTTCTCCTATGTAGATCTGCTGTCCGTTCTCTGATTGGTCTTTTCCTTCCTGTTGTTATCTGCCCTGGATTCCAGGGTCTATTCATACTGTCTTAAGAGGGAGAAAAAGAGAAAAAAATCAAATCAACCTACCTACGGTAATCTAAGGAGTGCGGTGTTTGCTTGCTGAAAATGGAAAATTTAGTGTAAAAATTGTCCTAATGACCAGAGCAGAGCTTTTCTTTAGGGGTGAGAAGACAGAGCAATGGTACCTTTCAGTCTGCTTGAATAGTCACTCTGATCCTAGCCAGAAACTCTGAGACCTAGGGCTCCACCATTAGGGCAGGCATTGCCCAGCCCCTGTTCTCTCTCGCATTGTTCCTCTTCTTCTCACAGGACAAATCCTTCACGTGCACTTTGTTCATGCCCTTTGATGAATTTGAAAAACTTCTCACCAGCAAGGATGTGCTGGATTTCTTCCAGAAGTACTTTCCAGATTTCATCTCCCTCACTGAAAAGTAAGTTTTGTACTTTTTCTTTTTTTTGCTTCATTGGTTTGAGTTACTCCAAATTAAAAATCAAGATTATGCAACTCACTTCAGCTTTTATTAGACTTGATAGATAGTGCAGTGACCTGGACAGAAATCTACAGTAGAGCAAAAGTCTCCATGGATGTTCTGCTGGGAGCAGGAATTCTGAGAAAACTCAAGAGAGTCTGGCTTCTCCTGGAAAGAAGACCCACCAATGTCCTAGGCTTATATATCTTGAGTAGGCTCCTCAGGTGACTTGGGCTTCACATGACCCAGAGCCTGGGTGTGTTTCCTTCCGCTGACAGACACACAAATCTTTGGCGCAGCAGGTATATCTGCCAGCCTCAAGCCTCAGATCCATCACTTATGAGCCACATCAGCATTCCTGTCCCGCAAGCCTCATGGTAAAATGCTGATAAATAATAGTACCCACCCCATAAGACCATGCCTCTAAAACCACTGAACACAGCATACACACACACACACACACACACACGCACACACACACACACACACCGAGTGCCATATAAGGGGCGGCTCATACATTAGCTATCTGGCCCATGATTTGTTGCTCTTCTGGCGAGTGTCAACAGCATGTCTGTGTAGGCTTTGTCATGTGTACTCATTCACAGCCTCTGTTCCCACTGGCTGTCCCTCCTAGAATCTACTTTCTACTCCAGCAATGTCTCTATATGATGTACAATGTCTTAGACTGTTCAGGCTACTATATCAAAAATACCATCAACTGGATCCTTGTAATGGAAAGAACCTTATTTTTCAGTTTCTCACAGTTCATAGAAGCAACTTCTCTCTCTGAACTCATATGGTGAAGATGACTTTTGAAGGGCACTTATCCCACTTCATGAGGGCTCTGCTTCCAAGACCTAATCACCTCTCAAAGGCCCCACCTCCAAGTACTATCATATTGAGGATTAGGATTTCAAAACATGCAGGCTGTAGCAGAGCAGGATTTTAGTACTACTTCTGCCACTTTCTTCCTTGAGTCTCACCTTTATCAGAATACCTACCTTTTGGAGTAGTTATGAAAATTTAATGAGCTAATTATGTCAAAGGGACAGCCCCCTGCTGGCCCATAGCAGTCTTTTAAAAGTTGCTAGTTTCGCTCTTTTCCCGTAGGCTAATTCAGTCCATATTGATCTGTCCTTCTCCAACCATGGAGAAAAATCTCTGCCTGGACACCACATTTAGCCCTCATGTCTTTTTAAATTTGTTTCATGGATATTTCTTGCCTCTTCAGCCAGATTTAAAACCCTTAAGGGTATGTACTATTTTTCTATTTATAACTTCCATAAACTGCCATAAATGCATTACAAACAAGTAAGGGGTTTTTTTCAGGGGAAGGGCTTGTTCTTTAGTCAGCATGTTGTACAACAGAGCTCTTGATTTCATTTTTCCTGTCTTAATGAAATTATGTAGCCTTTAACGAACATATTGCAATTCCCCTAAATATTAGATTGGTTGCTATTGTTCATTTCCAAATACATAAAGATTCATATTAATTTTAGTTTTGGTTTATTGTAGTCTAATCAAATGTACAATATTTTTTGTTCATTTTTCCACAGAAGCTTAAATACACCAATATATTTGAAAATTTCACGACCTCATGATATTTCACAACATGACATGTGACACAAAAATATTTCAAGTTCTTCAAATGCTGCCAAACTTGTTTTTTGGAAGTGTGATCAAAATTGTTCCAAACCAAGAATATAAGAACATTGGAACTTTAGTACTGGAAGAAACTGCAATTTTCTCTTTCTTATTTTCTTCCTGGCATTTTTCTTCCTGTACTGAGGATCTGAGGATTGAACCCAGGGCCCCACACATGCTAGGCAAGTGCTCCACCACTGAGCTACATCCCCAGTACTTTTCTTTTTTAAAATTTTGAGACAAGGTCTCACTAAGTTGTCCAGGTTGGGCTCAAACTTGCAATTCTCTTCCCTTAGTCTCCCAAAGACTGGAATTACAGGCATGCACCACCAGGCCCAGCCTTTCTGGCATACTTACATATTTTTCAATACAATTCTATGGCAGTGATGGCAAACCTTTTAGAGCTTTCAATGATACAAACAGCCTACTACAGCACGTGTGCCATAGATTTGCCACCACTGTTCTGTGGTAATAAAGCCAATAAATGTGAGAGAATTCAGCAGAATTCAATACTCAATTTGACACCTTTACATTTTGCTTATTTCCTCTGAAGGCAAGCCCTGGTGCAAGACTTCTTTCTATTGCCACCCCAGGCGATGATATCTGTCAAGTGCTCTTCTTTCCACTTTAAATCACACTGTGTGTTGATGGGAGATGCAGCTCATGCCATTGTCCCATTTTTTGGGCAAGGAATGAATGCGGTGAGTTCTTTTAACCTAGGTAAGTTCCTGAAATATTTCCAGGTCAGTCTCAACAAGTCTTAAATTAAAAATATGATTAAAACCATCCCTATATAAACAGTCAATTCAATGATTATATCTGTTGCTTAACTAGATTCAACTCAACTCAATCAATTCAATTTCAACTCAATCCCAACTCAAGTTAGGATTTGGATTATTTGATCTAGTAATTTTATGTGTTTTTTTTTAAAAAGCTTAAAGTACAATATAGTATTCCATTCCATTGGAAAATGTGCCAATAGCTTGAAATTTGGAAACTTGGTCATCAGCAATTCAAGCCTTTATTTTTAAAATAGAATTTTCCAAGAGATTATGTGGAAATATATAATATTAGCCTCAAAGAAAAAGAATTCCAAGCTATCTTTTCTCATCACTTTTTCCCGAACGAAAAGAGAAATACAATTGTCAGGATTAAATAAAGCTATGAAATAGACTGGATGTTGAATACTAATGCCTTTATGGAAATTTTACTTAATTGCTCTGTCAGTAAACAGCCTGTGCACTATACTCATTAATGAAAGTTCTGTTAAAATTGCCAAGTTTTTATTATTTCTGGTTAATTTTTCTCATTTTTTTCTTGTATAAGGGCTTTGAAGACTGCTTGGTATTTGATGAGTTAATGGATAAATTCAATAATAATCTCAGTAAGTAAAATTTCTCACTCAGATATGGAATAGACAAGCTAATTAATTGTGGACCTATTTCTGATCTCAGTAATCACAAAACAATAACATATATTTCCTGTTTAAGGTTATAAAATTTTCTATTAATAGCCTATGCTACTGTGGTTGACTGCATGGGACCATCTCCACCCAGAAAGGAAACATAGTTTCCCTTAAGATTTGTTCATGGAGATCTATGTTAGCTTTCCATTGTTACAACAAATACTGGAGATAATCAACTTATAAAAAGAGAAAAGTTGATTTCAGTTCACAGTTTTGAAGGTTTAAGTCTATGATCACTTGGCCCCATTTTTGGTACATCATGGCAGAGAGTACATAGCACAGCAAAAGCTGCTCCCTTCATGGCCAGGACTCATGATCCTCTTCAAATGCATAACCCCAATGATCCAAAGACCTTCCACCAGGCCACATCGCTTAAAAGTTCTACCACTTCCCAGTAGTACCTTCCTGGGGGGCAAGACTTTAACACACGGCTTTTGAGAGACACTTACTATCCAAACTATAGTAAGGGCTATGTAGTGATCCAGGCAGAGATGAAAGTTCGGAGTACCAAAGCTTGGTGGACATGTTCTCTTTTTTCTCCTTTTTGAACCTAAGTAATACCCCCTACTTGTGTCCCCTACATTATGCACCAGAAACACTCTTAGAAGCTCCAGTGCTTTTTTGCTTTTTGTCCTGATATTTTCATTTGCCTTTTAGTTAAACTTGATTCAGCCAATGTATTAATTTTATAAATATTGAGGTTTTAAATTTTTATAAGTAATTATGTGACTATATATAATATGGTTATATATACATGCCTTAGAACTTAGCACTGGATTGTCCACCTCTTCCTATTCCTCACATGTTCTGAATGGCTACCTCTAAAAGGCAAGGAGTAAACTAGAGAACTAGGCTTGAAACTGACACACAGACTCCGAGTACTGACTTGCCAGCTTGGTGTGTGATCTTGAGCCAGTCACTTGGTCTTTCTAAAGGTGCCATCCTTTTCGTCTACAAAGCAAGGATAATAACATTAACTTCAAGTAGTTGTGAAAATCAAAGAAAATTATTTATATAAATAATTTAAAGCTTATATAAAGTTTTAAAAGGAAAAAAGAAAGTGTGGCATTAAGTGAGCTCATGACAAATGTTTGTTCTGAGGTTACAGGAAATCACAAGGCACTGGTGTGTGGGTCTGAAAAAATTACAGGGTTCCAGGGAATAACAATTCCTCCTCCTCCTCCCCCCATCCTCCTCTTTCCCTCCACTGTCCTCTCCTTCATCTTTCCTTCACAGTCATCTCAGTTGATCAGGATCCATAAGCATTTGATTTTTCTGCTTTCTTAGCCCTGATATAATAGGTTTGCACGAAATGATGAAGGTGGGTAGAGTTTGTGAATCAGAACATAATCCCAACACCAGTTTTGGATACTGGAGAGCAAAGACAAAATGAAAATAATTGTGAATAATAATAATAAGTCCCATCACTGAGCATCTGTTATGGTTTGAGCATCTTGCTATTTTTAAAATGTTACATTTCCTTTGGTTCTTACAAAAAACATGAGACATTGATACTAGTCTTATCTTCCTTTCCTAACTGGGGAATCAAATGTAGAGATAGTTAAATAACTTGCTAAAAATCATAGAGCTAGGAAACAATGAAACTGGGACACTTAGGCCAGGTTTTCAGTCTTTAGACAGCATCTCACCAGGCGTGGTGACCCTGAGGCAGGGGGATCACCATGAGTTTGATGCCAGCCTGGGCTACATAGTGAGTTCAAGTCCATCCTGGACTACATAGCAAGGCCCTGTCTCAAAAAAACAAAAAAAAAAAAAACATAGCATCACTAGCATCTTTTTTTTTTCCAGTACTGGAAATTGAGCCCAGGGCCTCTGCTCTGAGCTATAATACATCCCCAGCCCTTTTTCCTTTTTTATTTTGAGCCAGGGTCTCATATGTCACTAAGTTGCCCAGGTGAGGATCAAACTTGTGATTTGCCTACCTCAGGGCACCTCTAACAGGTAGAGTTGTTTGACTATGTGAAACTAATACCCGTTAGTGATTCATTTCTTAAACATGTGTTTAACATTTCCTCTATGACATGTTAAGAGTTTACATATGAAGAAAACATGGAGCCTAACTTCTAGGAGCTCAAAGAATAAAGGAGGAACTGGTGTTCAAGCCAATGAGGTGTCTGTAGTATAGTGAAATAAGTACACAAAATAGAAAGTACACAAAAGAACACAAAATAGAAAGTAGCAAGTTCTATGTGGGGTGAGGGTCATTTATATGAACTTTCAATTTGTGAAATAAGGGAAAATAATTTTAACAGTCAACAAGCATAATATGTATGAACTTTATTGTAAGTTTTATTTCATCACACCAGGAAATATGCTATGGGCACTGCTTGATAATCATAGATTGTTGGTAACAGAATGGTAATTTATTATTTTAAAAGATTAGAGTGAATATTCATATTGAGTATACTGTTTAATTTGACATAGAGTCCAGCACATTTTATAGGCTGCTTTAAAAACAGGTATTATTTAATTTGATTTCTAGGTATGTGTCTTCCTGAATTTTCAAGAGTAAGAATTCCAGATGCCCATGCAATTTCAGACCTGTCTATATACAATTACATGGAGGTAAGGTTTGGCTTCATCCCACAAGATGGTTTGCTGATAGACCAGTAATTATCTTCTTTTTTTTCTTTGCTCCAAACCCATCTGATGCATACTGCATAAGAATAGATACAGACAAGAATGAACACACACACACACACACACTCAAATATACACATTCATACACAGACCATTCTTAATATATGGGTGGGTTGTGACTATATAGCCATAACAGTTATCCACACACATTATTTCTTGCTATACTTGAAAAACACTCAGAAGGTAACACAGATGACAACATCTCTAGTGATTCACAGGTTCAAATCTTAGATGTTTAGAAGAGCTGTTTATATGATATTTTAATAAATATAATTCTGAGATCTGTTAATATTATTACAAAGTCTAAGAAATATTAAATGACCTTTTCACCCTTAACATCATGGGGTACATATTTAAAGTAGCATTGAATATCCTCTGGAGCCTTATGCATTAACAAAAAATGTCTGGTACCAAAGAAATTCCTTGTCAGAAAGACTAATACTTTGAAGAAATAAACCTTAGTTTCATTTTAAGCCAGTCACATGACAGGTGGTTGTAATTATAGTTTTAAATAATGAAATGAAAAAATTTATAAGATAAATTTAAAGAAGAGAGAGAGATAGAGAGAGGGAGAGAGAAAGGACTCTACTTTAAGTAGAATTGTATCATACAGGGTAAAGGAAGTTCTAGAATGTGTAGAAAGACTATTAATATATCTTACCTGAGTCTTTAAAACCAGGACAGCTACAATGCAGTATTTGTCCTGTATAAAGAACAGTAGTAAATCAAGACATTGATGGATTAACACAATTCCTGGTTACCATAAACCATATTACAAACCAACCAGGAATCAACAGAAATTGGTAAAATCTTTGAGCTCACAGATTACTCACAGACATGATTGAACAAACTCTTTGCTCAGATAGAGTTCTTGTACCAACCTTTGAGCAAAACAGACTTCTCTGATAGGTTTTTTGTTATTGTACGTTTTCAAAATAATGTTCTGTATTATTGAAATTTCTTAAAATAGATTAGGAATGAGTATTTATGGAAATGGAGATTTATTTGACTACTTGTATCCGGCATTGTGATAAGTGGGAGTGAAAAATAATAAAGAAATTGTAGTAAGAAAATAGACGTTACTTTATTGGAGATATTTTTTAAAAACTCTTCACTGCAGGGCTGGGGACTTAGCTCAGTGGCACCATGCCTGCCTTACAAGTGTAAGGTCCTGAGTTCAATCCCCAGTACCAAAAAAAGAAAAAAACCTCTTCATTGCAGATGCGAGCACACGTCAACTTCAAGTGGTTCATTTTTCAAAAGACCATAGAAAGATTTCTTCATGCTATTATGCCATCTACATTTACCCCTCTCTATACCATGGTAAGGTTTGGACTTAAGATATTTGCTCATTTAAAACTTCTGTTTAGCCATTAAAAAATACACCAGATTCCTTTTTAAACTTCCCTATAGGTCACCTTTTCCAGAATAGGATACCATGAGGCAGTGCTGCGCTGGCATTGGCAAAAAAAGGTTGGAACAAATTACACTATAAAAAAAATCTAATATGTTGAAGTGTCACACTGTTATGGTCATATTTATTTCAAGAGATTAAAAAAATGCTGGGACAGACATCAAATATTTGCCTTCTAAATAAAAACTGTCCTGAGCACACAGAGGGTAAAGCACCTACCAAACAATATATGAAAAATCAGCAGAGGAAGAGCTTTTGAAGGCAAGAAATTTGTAAAAGAAGTAAGAATGATATTTTGCAGCCTTCCACTTTATTTTAGCAATGTGATCCATTCTTGACTTTTGTGTCATACAATATTCTTATTCATTGTAAACTTGGACAGAACTGAAGCCCTCATAAGGCATTACCAAATTCCAATGCAATGTTATGACACATGTAGGTTGGGTTGTTGACTCAGAGGCAACACTCAGGCACCACAGATTCCTGATCTTCCACTTAGAGAATTTATTCATTCAGTCACTCAACAAATAGCTTTACTTAATGCATAAACACTGAGCGGAGCATGGTGGTGAACAAGATGCAATCCCTACTCTTCACATAGCTCAGAAGTTGGGTCAGGGTCAATGGACAGCTGCTGTGAGAGGAATACAGCGGCCCTAGAGAGAACAGGAGTGGGCCAGACAGGTGAAGGCTGAAGAAACATGAGCAACACACCACAGTAGGAGTCTGTGAACCTGGAAGGGAGCACTTAAGTGTGGAGGGGCCAAGGGGAAATTAGAGAGCTAAGCAGAGCCTTAAGCTTCTTGAATATTAACTTGAGAGAAACAGAGGGACTAAAGAAGGCTCATACACTGAGGTCAGATTTTAGAAAAATTGCTTTAGTGTGTGGAGAATGAATTGGAAGGAATCAAGAGGTATATATCAATCCAAAGATGAATAAAATAGGGTTCCTGATCTCAAAGACATAAGAGAATAAAGGAGGGAAAGAGACAGCCACAGTCAGAATGCAGAACAATAAGTGCAGTGATAGAAATCAGAGGTCATGCAACTACTTTAGGTTAAATTTTGTGCTCTTTGGAGGTATAAAAATGAAGTATATTTAAAGATTTTAACCTTTGGACAAATGAGCATTATTTCTGTCCTCATAGGTAATAAAAAAAGGACTCTTTGTCTTTGGATCTCTGGTAGCCATCGGAACTACCTACCTGCTTGTGCACTACATGTCACCAAGACCTCTGGACTACTTAAGACCATGGAAATGGAGTCGCTTACTTCCAGGATATGGGGCACATTTCCCTGCAAACTCCATGGAGCCACTTGAACAAACTCCCTATTTCATTAGCCAGTGATATAAAGGTCCTAACATAGCAAATGTCTGATTTGTCTATGACCAAAAGTAGAGATCAAACAAGTGTTTCCATCGCCAGATTTAATTCACTATTGGAAGATAGTTGCCAGCATATAAATAAATTGAATGTAGAATTTCTCTGTGTGTCAGCTTCAGTTATTGAGGGGGGGGAAATCCCACCTCTTTTTTTTTTTTTTCAAGTTTCAACACATAGCTTCCCCATTACATTTTGCAACCTCAGGTTGGATCATTCCAAATTTTCAAAAGAAATGACTAAGATCTCTTTCACTTCTCAAAAACTAAGGCCTCAGATGCCTCCTGGAAGACACTGCTCATGCTTTTCTTAAAAGGACCCACACTGGGATTAACAATATTCAGGGCTAAAAGTCGCAGCTGGCGTAACACATTACCTATACTTTTCATCACGTGGATGGAGCTTGTCTTACCACAGAGCTCAGAGTCACTTGATAAAACCAGAAGTGTATATGAGGGTTGGGGAGTTCCAAAGAGTTATACAATGAATCTGTTTTGTTTCCCAGCCCCAAAATGCCAATATGACTTTCTGAAGATATGAAAGGGCCATTGATGCCATACTAGGTGAAGGCTAAGAAAGGATTTTATTCATAAATTAAATATCTACTTATACATGAGAGTGGAAAGGAAACAAGGGAAGGCAGCTTTTATAGAAATATAAAGCCATATTTTACTCCATTTCAGACCTTCAGAAGCAATTTATTTATTCTTCAATTATATATTATGTCAGAACCAGGAGTGAACTTGATTTTAAAAGTTCATTGAGTACATTTTATTTGGTTCTTGCTTCTTCAGTAGGTCAACTGAGTCACTTGTAGAAGTCCCTCAAACATAATTAATTATAAAGATGTAACACTAAAAGGAAATTTATCTAGGAAATTTTTAATTAGGCAATGAAATAAAATGATTCAGTGTTTCTTTTCAATGTTGTCAAAGACATCCTTGAATCCTAATAACCCATGTTTGGTGCGTAAGGGAAGAAAAACAATATTTCCTTTTACCAACCTTTAGGTTCATTGACTGGGGCCCCTACAACAAAAGACAGAGACTATAAAGAAAAAAACAAACACCAATAGAAGTTTATTCACATGTATATTTCACATGGAAGATACCCAGAGAATGAGTAAATCTCAAAGAGCTGGTTTAGCATCTTCCACAAAGAACTGTAAATTTTAGAGAAGTGCAGAGACAAAGAGAAAGGACTTTGAGACTGAGGGCAGCAACTTGTAGGAAGGTAAACAAACAGGATCTTGCTATGCAGATTCCTCTGGTGCTGTCTCCAGCCTAATGAGTGTCTAAAGTCATCTATGGTGGTCAACCTTGTTCTTCCTGGTAGAGAGGAGGAGGGAGCACATTTGCAAATTTGGGTCTTGCTTTTAGGCAAATAAAGGGAGGCAGAAAGCTTTCCTTGTATCACTTCTTCTCAATTGCTTTCAACTCAAAATAATCATTATGCAAAATGGAGCGTGTTTGGGGGTAGCATATTCTGGTTTCTTACAAGTTTAAACAGTGACTCATGGAAAAAGTGGCCTCTTCATTAACACTGACTAATGGACTGATTGATGAACAATGAAGACTAAATAATATATTTTATGAATACACTCAAATTCTTATTTCCATACCTCTTCAGATTAAGTATGTTTACTTGGGACTCCTTTTCTAAATCCAGCGCTCCTGGCAAAATTGTAGGAAATCATTAAAAGGAAGGGGTAATCCTGCCATGTTCATGTTCAAAATAGATGGAGATACTCATCTGCCATCAACATCATCTTCATCATGTACATTCTCACACCGTTACATAATTCACCATATGCCATAAGTACCCCAAAGTCATGGTATTCTTTCTCTTTGCTATGATGTTCTTAGCAGCTCATTAGTCTGAAGGTCCTCTTCATTTTATTTATATATAGCTACAGATAAAGGCAGGGAATTTATTTTTATCCTAGAATTTATCTCCTTGATAAATTCAATGCGGCCAAACATATGACATGACTCTAAATAGGACCCAACTTTACAGAGAATTAAAGATGGTCTAGCTATTTCACACATATGTTTGAGACAAAGTTATTTTCACGATGAAATATTTTCAAGAAAAATGTATCATGTGATTTGGCAACTATAGTCAGTCAAAAATATATCTGAAATGAAAATTCTAACATGTTAGAAGATGATGGTACCAGATGCCCGTCTTGTGCCACAAGTGGGTTTTTGTTATGTAAAGCACCCATTGAATTCAAAGAATTTGTCCTGTTCAGTTTCTTCTTGAGGCCAGAGAACATGCAGGCAATCAGATTTCCTACTGGACCACAAAAGCTTTATCGATGTTACATTGAATGCGGATTCCAGAACAATCGTTACATAGAAGTCCAAATGTGATATCCAATCTAAGGCTCAGTCTTTCATTCCTATAAAGGACGAACTTGGATTGTATCAACCTTGGACCCACTGGTTCTGTCACTATCATCGACAGAGAGTGATTCATCACTGGTGATGATAAAAATAATGGAAGAAGAATTAAAAGTCACTTTCTTCTTTGGCCTGTCCCCATCTTTTTGTGACATCACAATGGGTCTGATCTGCATTTCACTCTCAACTGCTGGTAGGTCTTTAGCGGGCTGCTGGCATCTCAGCAGTCGGAAACAGAGGAGTTGCAAGAGGGATCTTCGAAACTGGGCAGAGAAAAAAAGATAAAGTTCACTATTAGTTAAAAATTAGGCCCTTACGGTCTTTATCTCAACTTGATAAAGGCTCTCTATGAAAAACCAACAGCCAACATCATACTAAATGGTCAAAAACTGAAAACCTTCATGCTAAAATCAGGAACAAGTCAAGGATATCCCTATCACCACTCCTGTTCAATATAGTTTTGGAAACATTAGCCACAACAATTAGACAAGAGAAAGAAATAAAAGGAATAAAGATACGAAAGGAAGAAGTTAAACTGTCATTATTTGCTGATGATATGATACTCTACATAGAAGACCCTAAAAACTCTGCCAAAAGACTTCTAGGCTTAATTGACAGATTCAGTAAAGTAGCTGGATACAAGGTCAACACTAAAAAATCAATAGCCTTCTCATACACAAATAACAGACTCACTGAGAGAGAAATTAGGGAAACAATCCCTCTCACAATAGCACCCCCAAAAATGAAATATCTAGGAATCAATCTAACAAAGGAAGCAAAAGACCTCTACATTGAGAACTACAGCACTCTGAAAAAAGCTATCAAAGATAATATAAGAAAATGGAAGAACTAATATAGTGAAAATGGCCATACTTCCAAAACTGCTATACAGATTCAATGCAATCCCAATTGAAATCCCAACAGCATATTTCACAGAACTAGAGAAAACAATTCAAAAGTTTATCTGGAACCAGAAGAGACCTAGAATAGCAAAACCAATTGTAGGCAACAGGGTCATGGCAGGGGTTATCACAATTCCTAACTTGAAACTGTACTACAAAGCCACTGTGATTAAAACAGCATGGTACTGACAAAGAAACAGACCCAAGGATCAGTGGAATAGATTAGAAGATGCAGAAACAACTCCAGACATACTCAGCTACCTCATCTTTGACAAAGGAGCCAACAATCCTCACAGGAGGAAGATAGCCTATTTAATAAATGGTTTTGGAAAAACTGAATTTCAACTTGCCAAAGATTAAAACTAGACCTTTATCTTTCCTCATGCATTAAACTAAAATCCAAGTGTATTAAAGATCTAAATATTAAAACAGAAACACTAAACTTGCTGGAAGATAAGTTAGGTAGAACTCTTGAAGACATTGGCACAGGAAAAGACTTTATGAACAAAACCTCAATAGCAGAGGAACTAGAACAAAGAATCAACAACTGGGATCTCATCTTATTAAAAAGCTTCTGCACTGCAAGAGAAACCACCAACAGAGCTAAGAGACAACCTACAATGTGGAAAAAAAATTTTAGCAGCTGTTCCTTAGACAAAGGACTACTATCTAGAATATATAAAGAACTGAAAAAAATCAGACCACCCCCAAATATAAAGACCCAATTCAAAAATGGGCATCTGAAATGAACAGATATTTCTCAGACAAAGAAGTAAAAGCACCAAATAAATATATGAAAAAATGTTTAACATCACTGGTCATTCGAAAGATGCAGATGAAAACAATGCTGAGATTCCACCTCATACCAGAAAGAATGGCTGCTATCATGAAATCAACCAATAACAAATACTGGTGGGGTTGTGGGGAGAAAGGTAACCTTCTTCATTGTTGGTGGGAGTGCAGACTGGTACAACCACTGTGGAAATCAATATGAAGATACCTCAAACAACTAGGATTGGAAGTCCCATTTGACACAGCTATTCCTCTACTGGGTATCTTCCTAAAAGAATTAAAAGAATCATACCACTGCGATACATGCTCACCCATGTTCATAGTGGCACAGTTTGTAATAGTGAAAGCTTAGAAATAGACAAAGTGCCCATCAAATGGAGACTGGATAAAGAAGATGTGGGTTTTTTATAAAACGGAGTACTACTCAGCCATAAAGAATGAGAAACTGGAGACTTTTGTAGCTAAGTGGATGCACATTGAGGCTATACTCTTAAGTGAAATAAATAGGACACAAGTGTGTAAATACTGAATAGTTTCTCTGGTGTGGAAAACTAAAAGTCTAAATAAGAATCAAAATGTATAATTGATATTGTGAAATGGGAAGAAAATGTCTAAAGGAGTAGGAGAAGTGGGAGGGGTAGGGGAAAGGAAAGAAGGGAAAAGAAAAAATATGAGAAAAGGAAAAACATGGAAACAAGGCCTTTGTAAATAGGGAAGGGTGGAGGGGGTGAAGGGAGGGTAGGGGAATGGGGGAAAAAATAAGAACCAAGGTAAATCATGTAAAGGTACAAGATCCCAATGATGAATGTAACTGTGCTGTTTACCTAAAATGTACCAATAAACTAAATGGAAAAAAAATTAGGCCCTTGATCTGGATTAATGTTCAAGAAAATGAGTTTAATTAGGGTTGCTTTTTGTTAGCTGATACAGAATTTATAGTAATGCTTATGTTGACCTAAATCACTCTGAAGTTTTATGTCTGATTTATTTTAATTTTTATTAACCAGACCACACAGGACTATTTTAATACCTTAACCCTCCCTATTTTCAGTTTGCATGTACCTTCCATGAGAGCAGCTTCATCTGTTTAAGGAATTTTCAACACATATTCACATATTCAGTCCACAAATGTTCGGTGAGCACCTATGAGGTGACAGCCACTGAACTATAACCTAGAGATATAGTAAGCAACAAAGACAAACAAGTCTGTTCTGGCAGAATTTATAGACTAGCATGCTCATGAATGTTCTTTTAAATAGGAGAATTTTTTTCTATTAAAATATTACAGTAGAGAATGCTGGTTTTCAACAAAATATGTAATTCTTTGTGTCCTGAGCACTACACTAATCATATTTCTCAGCCCTTTCCAAGGTCTCCCATCTGCCCTTCCCCTTCTCTAAGAAACTTGATGACCAAGGTCTGAAGATGAGAACATCATGAAATGGAAGGGATGTAGATTCCTTAAAGACTGCATGAAGCAGATCCCATCTTCTTCATCAAATACGTTCGGCTGTGGACTCCAACAGCAAGAAACTTTCTGTGTTAATCCACTGAATGTTGGAGTTGTTACCGTAGTATGTTTACTATGGCTAACACAAGATATAATTAAAAAGTTAATTTGTTATCCCTTTTGTTTAGAGCAAAATGAAAGTTGAATATGGAGGCTTTTCCAGATCAAAAAAGATCAATTAAAAATAACAGTAGCTACATTGATTTGCTTTCTTTGACCCCCCCATAATTATATGTAAGTTAGCATTTAGCATATATTAACTTTGTTTAGTGCTGGGGATTGAATCCAAGGTTTTGTGCGTGCCAGCCCCTATATTCACATTTTAAATTATTTATTTGCTTGAATATTTATCACCAGACAATTGTTTGGTATATCAGATTAAGTACTAAAGAGATATCATAAGGGTTAGAGTATGTATATTATATTTAATGATTTTGTATACAAAGGGTAAGCTTGTTGTAGGTAAGAGCCATTGTCTTATTTGTTTTTGTGTGTTTGTTGTATCTTCTGGAATTTTATTTAAAGTAGGTTCCCATGAAACAGAAATATCAGGGCCAAGTGGAACCTTGTTAAGAAGTGCAGAATATTGGGTATCCAAATACATTGAATAAAAATACACATATTTTTACAATATTTTCAGGTGTGACAATAATTTAGAAGTAAGGATTTATAGCCATTGGCTGAAAGAAAGAGTAAAACAAATTGTTAGAGAATATACTTAAGTTTTACCTGGTGGACAGTGGTCCTCAAAATTAAGCAAAATTAAGTTTGGTGAGACATTGGCTGTGTCATGAGAATAACCCAGACCAACTACTAACAGTATTTCTAAACTCAAACGAGAAGTTACGAGCTTTGGCTTCGAGGACTCAAGTGAACCAGGTTCAGGTCCTAGCACCAGTACTTTCAGGGTTAGGTGAATTATCCTTTCTGACTCTACTTCAAAACCCACAAATAAAGGAATGATAATGTCTATTTCGTGGCATGGTTCTGTAAAGACACTAGGTGTAATCTGCATAGTACAGTAAGAATTTTAAACATATTAACTCTGTAATTCTTTAAGTAAAATCTCATTAGTAGTGGACAAATATTTTCTGATTAATGAATGTAATTTTGGTTCTTTTTTTTTTTTTTGGTACCGGGGATCGAACTCGGGTCCTTGCGCTTGCGCAGCAGGTGGCGAAACCACTGAGCTGAATCCCCAGCCCAGTGAATGTAATTTTAATAGAATTTCACCTACTAAGTACAAATCTCTATTGGCAGATCTTAGAATTATTACTATTTTATTTGGCAATATCCTACATTTCTTCCTAATCCTTTTACTTTCCTATGAAGTTCTTTATTTGGATTTTTATCATTGAAGCTGTTCTGAATTACCTCCATAAAATTATTTTTCCAACCCCTCCCTCAAGGCGAAAACAATTGTAAAGCTTACCTTTCTGATCATGATGGTGTAAATAACAGGATTGTATACAGTGCTCGATTTAGCAAAGAGGTAAGAAACAACTGACACTGTTGGAGTGACTCGGTGTCCATAACCATTAACTACCAAGAAACAGATCACAATATAAGGCATCCAACAGACTAGGAAGATGAAGACCATCAAGAAGCACATTTTGGCCACTTTCTTCTCATATCGTAAAATCTTCATCACTTGAATTGTCTGAAGATCTTCAACACAACGAAGCTGCAGCATGGAGAAAGAAAGGCAGGAGGTGAAAATCTAGGTCCTACCCTAATGGGGAAAGAAGGGCAAAGGACCTTGGGGAGCTGACTTCTGATCCAAACACGCAGCTAGGCCCAGGCTTCATCTCTGGCCTCAGTCTCCTAAACTGGGACATGTTACTGTTGAACTGAATAGCCTCTTAGATCTTTCAGTAGTTTTTAATGTTTTTAGAACTTAATAAGGATGAACTAAATTATTTTACGTGGATCTTCAAGTCACTACAAGACAGCCTGAAAAAGTCATGATAAAATGGTAACAATTTCTCTACAATCCAGGAAACTCTTTCATCCAGAGCACTCATCTGCAGATTCTCAGACCAGGGAGTAAACTCATGTCAGGTCAGGAGTTCTGCACAGTTAATCTTACAGCTGAATTGATGAGAATTTAATCCCCAAATGAGTTCTTGCTGGAAATGACTGCGTCTTTCAATTCTCTACTAATGACTCCCACCATGGAATCTGATAAGGAATTTGTTTGTGGTTGGTTTCATCAAGGGCTCATTTGTAGAGGATACCACTTGGTAAAACCCCATTTGTTTGAAATCAACACATCTAGCCTGTCTTCACAAAAGGTACTGAGGAATAATGATATACAGTTAGAAAGTTCTTTGACTTTCTTCTCTAAGAGGCTCTTTACATATTTCTCTTACTATTATTATCATGAATGTGCTTTTAAGGCAAAGAATAAAATAGAGAATAAAAAAATACATTCTGAAATAAAAATGGCTATTTTTGAGAACTGTAAGATACTATACTAATTCTCTACCAAAATACAAAAGCTTTATATATTGATTTTAAAAACAGTTATCAGGTATACTATTGATATTTAGTATTAATAATTTCAAACTGGAAAACTTGTTGTATTTCAATGAATTCTGAGTGTATCTTTAAGAATTCTCATAAAAATTAAGAGAAAAATTTTTGAAGCAATTCATCAGAACATGCTTATAATATTTAAAAATATATTTGAATAGGCATTCCTAAATTATTAGTTATCATCTAAAATTATATTTAAGAAACTGTATTTTTATTAGAATCATATATTCATATTGAAAAAGAATAGAGGGAAATATGAAAAGTCTAAATGTTTTATTTTCTTCAGAGTAGAGAGAAAGTATATGAGTAGACTGGGTATTAAATCTCTCCTTTTTTTTTTTTTTGTACTGGGGATCAAACTTGGGTCCTTGCACTTGCGCAGCAGGCAGCCAATCCACTGAGCTAAATCCCCGGTCCTCTCTTATTATTATTAACCATGTATTCAATTCTCTTTTTTAAGAACTATTTTATTTATTGTGATAGGATATTATTCTCTTTTCAGGACATCATTTTGGGTGCAGGGCACCTCCATTCAGTTTTTTAAAAGACGTGGATTCTGGTAAAAGTTCTAATTTGGAATCAAGATTTGCATTCATATTCCAAACTTAGTACATTGTTTCAGTATGATAATGAGCAATTCTCTACTCTAGAAGTAAAGATGGAACAATGGAGGTTAAAACAAATATACCTTAGATTTAACAGAAGCTGGGTTCTTTCATGCAGTTGTTTTTGAAATTAAATATTCATATTTGAACTCTACTTGAAACTAACATATACATATATACTTTTATGTTTCCATGGGATATTTAAAATCATCATTTTTGACTCTTCAGAATTTCAACTAACTAGTATATAACTACATCTTAATTATCTGCCCTCCACGCCCCCACTGTCTAGAACCCAAGAGTGTTATCTGTACTGTTTTCTGGGCAAGTTGGTCTCCATCCTCTCTTCATTCACTCAGAACAGTGCTCATTTATCATCTTGGAATTATATGCATCTTAGTGAAGGTAATTTAAGCACATGTCAGTCTACCCTCCAGCTTCTTTTTGTTAAAAGGAGGAGATCCTGTCTAAAGTTTCAGATTATTTGGGTTTGTACATGTGAAGTTTCTATGATTATTTTTTATTTATCTCTCTTTATCTTTTTGTTTCATAATAATTCCTTCACTCTGCTCAAAGTTTTCCTCCCAAAAAAGGAACTTTACTTCATGTGTCACTCACTTTATTCAATAACGAGGATGTATTTCAAAATTGCTCTGGATGAAGCAAAAGCACAAGTTATAGTTATCCCAAAGAATAAACCACCTAAGACATATTCACCAGAATTACCTCTAGAAATGCTATCTTCATATATTAATGGCTATGCCTAGTGCTTATTGATCTAGACGCATGCAGATTTTCATGGTAAGCCCTCATTTTCAAGCTATATCTCCCTTGGTGTTATGAGTCACCTCTTTCTGGAAAAAGAAATAGGGGCAAAGTACTTGTATCAATTTCTCATTTGAAGTAATATCCCAGTCTAAACTCAAATTTCTTTACATTTTTCTTCCCTTTTCTATGTCTTCTGCTTGTAACTCATTCCAAAAATACTATATGCAGGGACTATTCCTGCTACAAGGAGAAAAAAGTCAGGCATAGTCTGTGCTTTGAGGAATTCATGCTTTGGTGAGGGTGAGAAGTATACAATTGCTTCTATAAGTGATGCACGTGGTGACAGAGGGGCAGGGGAATATGGGAGAACAGAGGTGGAGAACCATTCTCAAGACCGGGTTAGAGAAAGAAAATCTTGATCTCGGCCTTCTGAGATGAGGATTTAGCTGAGTAAGGAGGAGAGACAGAATGTTACTGAGGAAGGAAGCATGCTAAGGCAAAAGGGTGAAAGTGCCATATATCATGTTCTGGAAACAAGAAATGTTGCAGTTAGCTAGAAATGGAGGTGGCAAAAGGAGAGGAATGTCAAGAAATGAGGCAGGACAAGTAGACCAGAGATGCTACACTGGACCTGCTAGCCACACTTAGGAGCTCTATTTCAATCGTGAAGGTAGTATTTGAGAACAATTATTCAGGTGGCAGTGGGTAAAGAACGGACTAGAAGAAAGTAAAAATGAAGGAGACTGAGGTCCTTTTGAATTGAATCTGTGTCAGGAGGCATTAGAAAAATGGATATTATGGAAAACCCATTAAGTAGAATAAATAAGAATTGGTCATTAGTTGGATATGGAGAAGATATGGATGAGGAATAGCCAAACATGATTCCATGATTTCTGGCTTAGGTAGCAAAGAATGCTGGCCATTCCATAAAAAAGAGAATAAAGAAGTAATGAATTTGGGGGACAGAGAGATAACAAATTAACCTTCACATATGCTGAATTTGATGAGTCTGTGAACCCTCTAGGTGGAGGGATTCAATAGGCAATTGACTATGAGCATCTCAGGTCAGAAGAAAGAACTGGATTGGGAATAGAAATTTCAAAGTCATCAAATATTGGTTAGAAGAGAGAAATCCTGGCAGTATGAACTGTGATACAAGCACACAGTAAATGTCTAATTAAAAATAATTTATTACAGTAAAACACATTGCCATGAATCCCCTTCAAAATCCCCCCCCTCACTTCAAACACACTTATCCCATCATTCTTGCCCCTTTCTGAAGCAGTTCTGAAAGTCTTCTTTCATGTCTTTAGTTAGGTTATCATGGCTGCCTCAATAGCCTGAATCAATTCAAAACTTTTACTTTTCATAGTCATTTTGACTTTGGAGAACTACCAGAAGTCATATAGTGCCAGATCCAGATAATAAGATGAATGAGGACACACCTTAATGTTTTTACAAGCCTGCCTCTCCATTAGATGGCACTCAGCAGCAACATTCATCATATTTTTATTACACCTTCTAAAGATATGAAAGAAGACTTCCAGAACTGCTTCAGAAAGTGACAAGAACAATGGGATAATTGTGTTCAAAACAAGTGAGAGAATTTTTGGGAGGATTCCTGGTCAATGTCTTTTACTGTAATAAATTATTTTTATTTAAATACTAATCATATATTTCAATCATACTTCATATATAAGATTACCCAAGGCCAATGTGTAGCAAGAAATGAGAACTCAGCAAAGAATGCTAGGAAGGCCCAAGCAAAAGAAGTCCTTGAAAGAGACATATGAAGATGCAGCCAGAGAGAATAAAGAAGGGTCTTTGAATCAATGTGAGGGGAAGATTATATAAGAAAATAGAAGTTTATTTATTTACACACATGAATAAATACCAAATAGTTTCTCTGGTGTGAGAAACTGAAAGTGTAAATAAGGACTAAAAAGTATAACAGGTAATGTGAAATAGGAAGAAAAGGGGCAAAGGGGAAGGAAGTGGGAGGGCTAGGGGAAAGGATAGAAGGGAATGGGATTAATATGAGAAAATGGAAAAATAGGAACAAAATCTTTGTAAATAGGGAGGAATGGAGGGGTTCAAGGGAGGGCTGGGCAGGGTTGAAAAATAAGAACCAAGAGAGACTATGTAAAGGTGCAAATTTCCAATGATGAATGTCATTATATTGTATACCTAAAATGTACCATTGATTAGAATGAATAATCGAAAATGCAAAATAGGAAGAAAAGGTCCAAAGGGGAAGGGGTAGTGGGAGGGGCAGGGGAAAGGAAAGAGGGGAAAGGAAAAACGATGAGAAATGGAAATAAAGTCTTTGTAAATAGGGAAGGGTGGAGGGCGTGAAGGGAGGGCTAGGAATGGGGAAAAAATAAGAACCATGATGCATTATGTAAAGGTACAAGTTCCCAATGAGAAATGTAATTGTGTTGTATACCTACAATGTACCAATAAAAGAATTTAATTAAAAAAAAGAAAATAGAAGTTATCATCAGTCTCAAATACCACAAATTCCAGAAAACAACAGAAATAGAACTGTGTCCATGGCATCCGACATTTGGGAGATTATTCAGACCTTAAGTGAGTGGAGGTATCGTAAAGAGGGAGGCACCTATTTGAAATGAGTTAAGGTATAAATGCTACATGAATTTACTCAACTACTAACTCCTGGAATGACAGAAGAAATTTATTCCTTACAGTTCTGGAAGCTGGGGAGTCCAGGATCAAGGTTCTGGCAAGGTAGGCTTCATCCTAAAGTCTCTTCTCTTGGCATGTAAGTGTCCACCTCACTATATGCTTACATGACCTCTTCTTCATGTACACAGGGAAGGCAGTGCACTGAGGTGGGGGGAGGAGTGCAGGCAGACTGGTGTCTCTTCTTATAAGGACATAAATCCCATCAGATCCCTTATGACCTCATCTAGCCCCAATTACTACTCAATGGTTCTATCTCCAAATACCATCACACTGCAGTTCAGTGCTTCAACATCTGAATTTGGGAAGAACAAAACATTCTTCCCATGACATTAAGTAAGTGATACATTTTAGATGCTGATAAATGTTGGTTAAAGGAATACTTATTGGGTGACAATATGGTACCAAAAAGCCACCAGTGATTCTTTGAGTTAGCAGTGACAGGAGAGAAAGGATAGCTAAAGGGAGCTGAAAGTAGATTTTGCTTTTGTTTTAAATTAGCATTGTTTTATGGTAAAGGGGAAAAGATAGCAGTAAGGGAAGGAAAAGACTGGAGATATCAGTGAAAAAGAAAATTACAGCTGAGAGAGTTCCCTGGAAAATGGGAGGAGAGATCAGAATATGGAAATAGTTTGGTCCTGGAGACTTCCCTGTCACCCCATAAATGCAGGAAGGAATTTAAGAAACAGTGTGGAACAGAGGTTTACATAAAAGGAGGCAAGGAGTTGAGGAATCCCCTGATAATGGCTTCATTTTGTCCAACAGGGAAGCATGTTTATTTGATAAGAATGAAGGAGAGTAGAACAAGAGATTAAAATGAATATTGAGGATTGTTAATAGTCGTAGTGTGACAAAGTGGACCCTAGAGGAATAGAAAGATTGCTAGACAGAGCTGAGAGGACATCTGAATCCGGACCCATGTGACTTTCCTTCCATCTCCTCTTTGCATTTTGATTACTGGCATGGAGAAAACAGAGGTGGGTTAGTCCAAAGATTTTTTCTTTCAACAAAATGGCTGTAAGTAAAAAATTATGAACACAGAAATTGAGGGTAATGGGTTTAGAGTGAAGCATAGGTAGGACTGTTTGGCTTAAAACAAAAGGTGAAAGCTCACGGGATTTGACAGAGTGAGAAGACTAAAGTGTTCTAGTGAAAGCAGTGGGCTGAGGGAGTGGGAAGAAGCAATGAGTTAGGAAACCATGCATAGCTGAAGTTAGAGACTGGGGCGGGGAGGTGCCTTGCCCTCTGTTGGTTAGTTCAAACATCCTTCTTGCTGGCTCCCAACATGACATCTGTTTGTGGTCAGTTCTAGTCCCTTATGACTCAAGTGTGATTTCCAGACAAAACATCTGTACTATTCTCTCGGCGTAGGTTCATGTGATCGGGTCTGAATAAAATTACGGGAAGAGTGCAGTTCCCTTTTTCAGAATTCTTAAATTCTGAGAGTGCTGCACAATGTGGGAATTTTGATGCTTTTGTTGATTGTGATTGTCCAGAAGTCCTTTCCTTCATTCTTTTAGTTTAGAAAGTGATGTAGAGAAAGTGTTACTCCTCATTGATCCTTTCAGGGAGTGAATCATAGTGAAAAATGTCATGATAGGAAGTCCCCTAGAGTTGCTGCATTTCTGGGCAGCTACTGATCACATAGGAAGAGTTTATTCTTTCTACGTTAAATGTGGACATGTTTTGGGGGAGGGACATCATTAGCCTTCAACTCACCATTCGAATGGAGTATAGAATATGGCCATAGCAGTGGGCTATGACACCCATGGGTACCACCAGGCAGCCAAGAAACAAGAAGAGCACAAAGGAGGAATCATTGGCATCCTTGGATTTCCAATCCACAGTGCAGCTTAGTCCATGGACGTCCAGGATGTACCTGTTCCAGCCTAGGAGAGGTGCTCCTGCCCATGCAAGCGAGTAGAGCCAGATGTAGGTAATGGCCTTCCAGGCCCAGGAAAAATTGATCACTCTGGCATGGACCACACGAATATAACGTTCATAGGCCAGCACAGTGAGGGTGGTAATGGAAACAATCCCTGTAAGAAGAGAAAGTAGAAAAGTATAGCATACTGTGGGGGGAAACTAGATAACAGTGACGTGCTACATGCCCCACCAGAAATTCCATACAGAGTATCTGAGGCCAACAGAGTGCTCTCAAAGCTGAGACAGCCAAGAATAATAGTGCCCCAGACTCCCCAGGAAATTCCATTCAAAATGTATTTACCTATGGAAGAAAACATAGGATAGAAAATGACATGTGGATTATAGTAGGACAAAATAAAAAGCCCTAAAAATCTACCTTGCCCAAATAATGCAGCTATTGCACTAAATTTTCTACAAAAAAGAAGCCCAGAGTGAGTCATTGGAACAAGTATTTCCTTTAGTTTTCCTTCTCCCAGTTATTAAAGTCAAAGTGGGTTTTACAAGCTCAAACTGACCATTCATGGTTGCCTTGGCCCGCCAGCTAGCAGATGTCAGCATCTGAACAGTTTACACGCAAAGATTGCTAACAAGGCAGGAGAAAGGCTTCTGTGCTCCCCTGGTCTTCACTTATACCTCTGTTTTGCAACAATCCACTTTAACAATATTATTCATGTATGTCTCTGTCCTTCCCCGGAGTGTGATTCATTCACTCAACAAGCACCTATTGAGAACCTCGTGTTTCTAGGCATTGTAGTGACACTGGAAGTCCAGTGATGACTAAGAGACAGAACTCTAGATGTCTGAAGGGACTGAACATGTGCAAATAACACAACGCTTTGGGTGGGTAAATGCTACAATGGTGCCATCATGGATTGGAGTCTCAGAGAAGGAAGCACTGGTGCACAGAGCTGGAGAAGCACACTGCAGGAAGAAAGAGCAATTAGGTGTCAGAGCCTGGAAGTGTGAAAGGACAAGAAAGGGTCTATGAACAATTAGAGGATGCCAAGGTGCCCCAGATCAGAAGACAGGGACAGAGAGATTTAGAGAAGTCTGATGAGGCTGTTATAGACAGCTAAGTTAGATAAAACTATTACAGGCAGTCAGGGATAGGCCCTGGAGAGAGTCAGAACAAAGGTGAAACACATCACAGCTGCGGCCAGAGACACATCTGTTAGAAACCAGAACTCAAGATAAAGACAAGATGACCAGGCTTGCATATTTCCTCAAAAGACAAAAACCAGGCCTAATGAAATCTAGATCGACACCATTCACCTCGGTAGGTGTCCAAGACCTCTGGACCCATCCTTTCCTAGGAAAATCTTTGTTCTTTCCATGCACACTTGTTATGTGACTTGTTTCCCCATCGGATCACTATTACCTAAACGACTATACTTGTAGCCCTATTGGTTAATCATACCTGTAACCCACATGGGTTTTGCTCTACAAAACTTCCCTGAAAAGTGGGGTCCCCGGCTAATCATTCAGGTCTCCTCCTGCCTCTCAGGAGATAGCCTCTCAACAAATATTTTCCTACTTTTACCTGCAGTTGTTCCTAGAATTCATTCTTCCATTTTTAGAGAACATGAGCTCAGCATACCAGGCATCTAACAGGTTGGGAGATATAATATTTTCATATTTCATCTCCTGTATCAAGGCTACACTGAGAACAGTTCTCTTTTTCCTCCTCCTCATTTTTCTTCTGCAGTTACTCATTTCAGCAGTAGCGCAGAATAAGGAGCACAGTCCAGCTCCCTGAAAACAGCTTGAGCCCACACTGCAGCCCAGGCAGGACACTGAGCCACAGCAGGACACTGAGCCACAGCAAGGATAGCAGTAAAGGCATCAATAGCCACGTCTGGATTCACTGACACTCAGCAGTCAGTATCGGCAAAATCCATCTGCTTATTGAACATGAAGAGTGGAGGACAGGTGTTAAAGATAACTTGGAGATTTCTAACCTGCCTAATAAGCAAGGATTACATTAGCCAAGATAAAAACCAACCAGGTGTATGAGCAGAGATGGGGAAGAAAATGAAATTGTGAACTGCCTAGGACACAGCAGCAGAAGAATTTGTTGAATGAATAGGTGGGGAACAGTTGAAGAAAAGTAACTCTGATAGCAAATGAAAGTAAGACTGATCTGAGTAGAGTAAGGGTTGTTGAGAGGCCGGGGAGCCAGGCACTGCTCCCCACTAAGTAGCTGTGTAAACTCCCAGCAAATCATCTCTTCACGCCTTGGTCACTGTTTTCATAAAATTGAAGATTCAGTCACACTACAAAATTTTTTGATTCTGCTATTATGAAAATGTGAAATGAAGAGGTCCTTGACTTAGAAATTGCAAGACAGTTCATATTCACTTACACACCATGACAGCTATTACTATTATCATTATGAATTGTTTGTATGTGAGGCTGTAGGGGACAGTATTGATCTAGTATCTGATACATATGGTATATAATGAATATTCATTGAAAAAAATAAGTGAATACTTACTAAATACTTTAGTGACCAGAATGTTAGGTCTTGGAAACACTGTAAGGAAATAGTTCCGGAAGTAATTATACAATAGCAAATAATGGACTTAAATTCAAATTATAATAAATAATTAGGAGAACAAAAAATATCAAATTAGATATCTACCTTCAGAAATCTATTTTTACTTTATTAAATTATCTAAAGAGTGATATCCTTTAACTAATTATATTTCTAAAAGAAAATCTAGAAATCTATAATTAGTGACATAATAACATGACTCTAATGAAATACTGATTTATTTAGTTTTTAAACTTTTCTATAAATATAATAGTGGGTTTTTTTGAGACAGGGTCTTGCTCTGTAATTCTGGCCTTGCACTCACTATTTACCCCAAGTTGGCCTCAAACTCATGACAATCCTCCTGTCTCAGCCTCCTGAGTGCTGGGATTATAGGCATGTGCTACCATGCCCAGCTAGCAGTATTTAATTTTATAATTGCCTTTACATGTTAAAACATAATTTGGCCTTCAGATTTTTAGTTAATTTGCATCAAACGTGATTTACTCCTTCACAGGCAAGAAAACTTGGTGCAAATAATGGCACTGGTTTAAATTAGTAAACTCTAACACATCTTAGGGATGAATAATTGAATTTTTAAAGCAATAACCTGATATAATAACCCTATATGAGCATATGATTATGTTCATATATTCATTATTAATATTCATTGCTTATCTAAATATGTCAATCATTATGCTAGAAAATAATTATAAGGAAATCTATTAAAGTGCATCATGAAACTTAAAGCCCAATGGATAAGATACTGTAGATTTAAAAACTTAAACAAGTAAATTACAACTTACTATGACGGAAGAAGAATGCATATGTTGAGAATAATGGGGAGAAGCATGTGGAAGAACATTATAGCGTGGTCAGGGTGTCAGAGCAGAAGAACAAAAGCCCTCAACTCCGTGATAGATAGGTCAGTGTTGCAGAGGGTAGTACATTTTTCTATCTGATAATTTATGTCAAAAAGATTTTTAATCTATTAGTATAGTTTTGCCCATGCCTTTGCTTAGCAAACACAGTTAGTTTCAAGTGCCTGATTTCAGTCACGAGTGTGCAGTCCTGTAACTGGTTAATACAGACCTGGGAGGAGCATTCCTTGCATTTCTCAGGCCCACCCTGATGATACCAGTGTAAGAATGATTGGCAGCTGTAGTAGACTAGATTAGTTTCCTGGGTGACTCATTAGAAATGATCTTAAATCATATCTCCCTTAGGAAATATATAGCAGTTCCCCTTCCCCATAGACATTTTATTTACCAATGAATTTTGTTTCTGAATCAAAATTATCTATCATATTATGTGTAGACCCCAGAACATAACCCAGGAGAATGACAGGACTGTTTTACAACTACTTTATGGTTTAGCAGATGTTGAGCCTAATTATGAGCTGTAGTTGAAATATATGGTGAATATTTAAATAAAAATATTTATTACAGTGAAATACACACTATCATTAATTCCCCTGAAAATACTCCCTTTCTCTTCAGAATTATTCCATCATTCTTTCCACTTTCAAAGCAGTGCTGGAAGTCCTCTTTTGTGTCATTATGAGGTATACTTAACAACTAGGGTGAAGCGCGGGATGTAGCTCAGTGGCGCCGCCACCTGCCTGGCAAATGCAAGGTCCTGAGTTCAATCTCCCGTATCAAAAAAAACAGGAGGGTGAATGCTGCTGCTGTCATCCAAAGGCAAGGCAGGTCTTGGAAAAACATTACCATGCGTCTTCATAGATCTGGTACGAAGCAACTTCAGGCTCTTCCCCAAAGTGAAAATGACCGTGAAAGCAATGTCCATGAATTGATTCAGGACATAGAGGCTGCCACAAGAGTGCAATTAAAGACACAAAAGAAGACTTCCAGAACTGCCTAAGAAAGTGGCAAGAAATGGCACGAGTGTGTTCACAATGAAGGAGAGTATTTTGAGAAAGATTAATGGCAATATTTCTTTTATTGTAATAAACTTTTAAAGAATTTAAACATTCACCATATTTTTCCATCATACCTCGTGTTCCATGGAGTACATCCGTTTCCCTTAGCCCTACGGAAAGCAAAGGGGAAAGTGACAGCTGAAACTGGGCATTAGTAATGCATCAGGCCATATGATAATCACTCTACAGATAGTATCTCTCTTTACTTGGTAGAGCCACGTTTTGAGAATCAGTGCTGATTCCGAACTTATTGTCTTTATACCACCTGCAGTCACTAGAGGGAGACACCTCCTTTCTCACAGATTGTATTGGGGTAATTTCCCGGTATTGAGATCTTGTAGGAATTTTGTAAGCATCTCTAGCATGATTCCTACCCGCAAGGAGACGACAGTATTACATTCCAGGTAAAGTTGAAACTCATATGCAACATTATAAGGTAGTGTAAAATGATATGTAATTATAAAATAAATGATATGTAATCATGTTAAATTTAAGGTGCAATTAAAACCAGAAAAAGTAAGGTCCCAGTGGATTAAATTGTGAAAAAATGGCTTCATTAAGAAATAGAACTGAAGTTAAGCCATAAAAGATGGAATGGGTGTCCGAAATAGAAAAGGTCAAGGCAGGCATTTCTGGCTGGAAGAGCGACTTCTGCAAAGGCAAAGTGAGATTCTTCTAATTCTTTCAACTGAGCCTTGAACTCTGGACATGCAGTCATGCCTGAGGGATTTGAAGGGGTTGCATGCAGCTGATCCCATTTCTCAGAGCTGACAGTGGTCCCAGAAGGGATCTTCAAGTTGTCTACTGTTTGCCCCTGGTCAAATTTTGAAAAGGTATATACAGGCTTATATATTTAAAAGGTGGAATCTAGTTTTTTAAATCTTAAAACTCTTTAAGTTGTTTAAATATAACATTTGAAAGCAAAACTATTTCCTCACTCATATGTTTAATGTATTAAATGATTCATAAATATATTAGTGGTTTCATATATGATACATATATTCATTCTTGTGCTTGTGTGTGCATACATGTGTGTTTATAAAACAATGAATGATCATTTAAACTTGCATGTCCATTCTACCTTTCTCATAAAAATTTTATCCCAAAGGAATATATTGGTATGGCTTAGAGATTATTAATTATTCACTTTTTTCTGCAAAAAAATGTATTTTTTTGCTTAAATTCTTTCGTTGGTACATTTTAGGTATACAGTACATTTACATTTATCATTGGGTATATGATGTATCTTGGTTCTTATTTTTTCCCCATTCCCTGTGCTCCCTTCAACCCCCCTTCCCTATTTACATAGACTTTGTTTCCATTTTTTTCTTTTCTCATAATTTTTCCTTCCCCTTCTTTCCTTTCCCCTTCCCCTCCTGCTTCCCCTACCCTTTAGACCTCTTCTTCATATTTCAGATTATCAACTATTCGTTTTAATTCTTATTTACACTTTCAGTTTCTCACACTAGAGAAACTTCGGTATTTACACATGTGTGTCCTATTTATTTCACTTAAGAGGATGGCCTCAATATGCATCCATTTAGCTATAAATGTCTCTAGTTTCTCATTCTTCATGGCTGAGTAGTACTCCATTTTATTTTTAAAAGCCACATCTTCTTTATCCAGTTTCCAGCTGATGGGCACTTGGGCTGTTTCCAAGCTTTAGCTATTATGAACTGTGGTGCTATAAACATGGATGCACATATATTGCTGTGGTATGATTCTTTTAATTCTTTGGGGAAGATACCGAACAGGGGAATAGCTGGGTCAAATGGGACCCATAGCCCTAATTCTTTGAGGTACCGCCATACAGATTTCCACAGTGGTTGCACCAATCTGCACTCCCACCAACAATGGAAAAGGGTTCCTTTCTCCCCACACCCCCGCTAGCATTTGTTATTGGTTGATTTCTTGATAGCAGCCATTCTTTCTGCAAAAAATGTATTTTGAAACTGAAATTTTTAAATTTCTTGGACTATCTAAAATTTTTCTTGTATATTGAGTTTATATTTATATTGTTACAATTTATATTAATGGAGTTTACAATTTATATTAGTATACAATTGATCAAAATATTTTGTTAGATATTAAAAGTAGAAAGTATAGTTAGAAATACTCTTCATAAAGAGATTAATGTAGTTTTTCCTCATTCCAAGAAAAAAATATATATATATGTGATTACTATTATTATTACCTAGATTGAGGCAAGATCAGTTCCACTCCCATTTTTCCTGTATGTAAAGTTAGATTTCTTGATTTTATATATGTCCAGGCAGCAATGGAAGGAGTGTCTTTATATTCAATTCTTATTAATTATAAGAACATTCCTCCTATATTTAATCAAATTCTTCTTAAATTATACACCAAAAATCAGTATTTATTACCAAAATTATTTTTAAGGAACTTACATCTAACAACTAATTTGGTTAAAAGTAAATCATTGGGAACTACCTGAGTGGTCGTTCGCTTCTTCAATATTTTCAACCTTTATTTTCCCAGAGCATCCCACACCACTTTTTGGCAACACACTACTGTGAGATTTCATTCTATTTGGGAAGGGTGACGGGTTTGCCTCGGTACAGTGGGAGAAGGGTGATCGAGGGAGGAAGTGTCTTGAGAATAGGTAGCTGATCTCTAGGAAAAAATACAAAGGGAGACTGAGAATTTAGGAAGTGATGCTTGTGAAACTCTCCTCGAACAGCCATCGGAAAGGCTTTATGTGCCCCTAAAGGTTCTGAAGACAGGGTCTATCCAGTAATTCCTCAGTGCCCAAGGTGGTGATTGCATAATCCTGCCACCTGCTCACATCAGGATGCACATCACCCTCAATCTGCCAGCCTAGTCAGAGCTGGCTGCTTTGATCCTGCTGTTCTCCCTGCTGAAATGCTGACTGCTCTCAGAGTGGGGAAGACAGATGTGTAAACAAATGCCTACAGGAATGTGCTAAGTGCTGAAAGAGTGCTGTGTCCCAGCAGCTGCAGAACGCAGTAGAAGTATTCATCTCTGCCTGGAGAAAGGCTGGGGAAGGTTTGAAGAGAAACAACATTTGAATTGACAAGTG